GAAATTTTCTCTGTAAGAAAAAACTAGTTTCCTTGTAGTGTGTTGTTTCTTTCCAAACAAAAATGCTGGCCTTTTAATCCTACTTCCAAACTTAAAGACATAAAAATCAGAAAGAAAGAACAAAAAAAAGGGAAAAACGGTCGAAGCCAGCTGTTTTATTTGTGTGTTTACATTTGTCTCCCTTCCAAATAAATAAAAAGGATGAACAAATTTTTGAGAAATAGGGAGATGACAGGGGAAAGACAAACGAGGCACTGCTACTTTTAAAGAAGCCCATTAATTACTTGAATAATCTAATTATGCAATTACCAAATGGGGAGTTAATAGATAGCAGCCATTGTTTTTGGTGGCCCTGAAAAAGGAAAAGACAAAACAAGCCAACATCTGCTCCCTACAGATGTTGAGTTTGCACTGACCAAGCCAAATATCAACTTACCATACAGACAAAATTCAAGAAAGTCCAACAGTCAAACAAGGCCCTTTCCCTGTCTCTGTCGTCTACCCCTGCTCGGTCTATATATATGTGTATGCTGTATGCATATGGCCACTAACATACAAGGCTCCTCACTGCACCAACAAAATTCTCCTGATTAGCAATGAATCCGACCATGAACTCAATCTCATCAGAAACCTTCAAAACCACCCTTTCCCATCCCAAACATACCATTCCGTTAGACTTCAACAATGTCCCTAAACTGCCAGACTCCCATGCATGGACCTTGCCACACCAGCCGATTGACCCATTTACCCAGGAACCTTTGCCCGTCATTGACCTTGCCAAACCGGATGTGTCCAAGCTCGTGAGGCTTGCCTGTGAGGAATGGGGAGCGTTTCAGATCACCAACCATGGCATTCCCATTTGTCTCCTTAATGAAATCGAGCACCAAACCCGGCTGCTGTTCTCGCTACCCGCAGAACGCAAGCTCCTCGCTGTCCGGTCACCGGAGGGTTTCACCGGGTATGGACTGGCCCGCATATCCCCTTTCTTCTCCAAGCTGATGTGGTCCGAGGGTTTCTCCATTATAGGGTCCCCTGTGGAACATGCTAGCCAACTTTGGCCAGAAGATCATGCCAAATTCTGGTACGGGCATTTATAGCAAAAGTTATTGTCCATAATATTTTTAAGACAAGACTTAAATGAAAGTAATCGCTTCGTTAAAATTTTTATTAAAGTATCAAATCAAAACCAAGTCGATTTATTGATGCGATTCAAGTTTAATGAGTGTATATGCGAATAACGCCTAAAAACAAATTGAAAATGGCTTGTATTGAATTTCGTTACTATCTAAGGAGACATGGAATTTTCGTGTAAACAACGTGGGGAGTTGTGAGTTGTGTGTAGCACTGTGATAAGCTAGGCAGATAACTTATTGTATAGAGAGAGAAAGAGGGAAAGCACTGTGCATGCGACAGTAACAACATTCATGCATTACACATTATTCCTTTCACGTAGCCACTTGCTCGTGTATGCCGAAGCTCACCTAGGGAACCATTTTTTACTTCAGATTTGGTATACATACGAAAAGATCAATTAGTTACTTAGGATGCAGAGAGACTTAGATGAATCTCAAGCACAAGGAAAAAATCAAGGATATAAAGGCAGTCCAAACCAGCCTAGATTCTATTCATATATATCTCTTAATCTATTGCTGTATTCATGATTATATTTATATATTTTTCATCTTTATCTTCGTATATTAAATATATTGGTATATATATAAACACATATTTAGTATATTATCAAAATGATTGAGAAACCTCTAATATCATAAAAAATTTTAAAAGACAAATTATAAAATACTAGTCTTTCCTAAGTGATTTTTTTCATATTATATTTACCGTATGTTTTATATATAAATATACAAAGATATAAATAAAAAATATATTATTACAATCATATAATATAACGTTAATTTAAGAGATATAAAATCTGTGCTAGTTTACTTTGCCTTGGACTGATATATTGACGAAACTTGGACTGATATATTCTTTCTTGTGCTTGCCAGTCATCTAATCTTTCTACATTAAAGGAAACTACAACTCACTTATTTCAGGCAATTGAATCATGTGCATGCATATACAGATATTGAGATATTACTACATATATATGTATGTATATATTATATATACACAAGAGCAATGCTAATTAATTAATCTGTCCAATATTATATTTATTGTCTCATATTATGTTTGAGTATAGACAATGACATATATGACTAGTTCTGTGGCTATGACCTGACCATGTCCTCTTATTATATTCTCCCACTTGTCAATGGTTGGCGAAGAACCCGAGTTCTGACACTATCTAATGCTTAAGATTGTGTAAATCTTTAAAGGACCTGAACCTTCTCTGAATATTTCCTTCATTATTGGCTCTCTGCTTCACCCTCAGCCGTCTTTTCTCTTAAGTTCTCTGCACAACCTGATACACAAAAGTTCAATCAACAATCATGGACCAAGAGAATTTCAGCACAATCAATCCAAAATATAAGGAAACTTAGCCACTTGAACAAACTAATCCAAAGAGAATTGTCTGTAGAGTTTTGGATATGACTCGTGAAATAATCCTTCGTCATCAAAGTCAAAATTGCCTTGGGGACAATTTGACAAAACCAACAAGTTCTTTGTTTTCTTTATGTGTTTGGTTCTCTTGGAGAATGGAGTCACGAAGATAGTACACTTCGTTTATAATGAATTGCTTGTGATTTGATGATTCTTGTTTTATTAGTTTGATCAATTTGTCTTTATTCTCTTTTTTTTTTTGGTCTGTTGTCAGATAGATTATATATGGCATAATTTGTTCGTTATTCTTATTGCATGCAGCGAGGTAATGGAACAATTTCAGGAGGAGATGAAAGGATTAAGCGAGAAAATGGTGGCAATAATGCTTAGCTCATTAGGTTTGACCCATGAAGAAGGTGTGAAATGGTTTGAGCCCATGAAGGGGTGTGACCAATCCTCATGCGTGCTTCAACTGAACTCGTATCCAGTGTGCCCAGACCCAGGCCGAGCCATGGGCTTAGCCCCTCATACAGACTCATCTATGCTTACTTTGCTGTACCAAGGCAATATTAGTGGCCTTCAAGTCCAAAGAGATGATGCTGCAGAGTGGGTGCCTGTGGAGCCAGTCGAGGGCGCCTTGGTGGTCAATGTTGGTGATTTGATGCACATTGTCTCCAATGGCAGGTTCAAGTCCGTGTTGCATCGTGCAATGGTGAACAACACGCACCACCGCGTGTCGACAGCCTACTTCTACGGGCCACCAAGGGATGCCAAGGTCTCACCATTGAGGAAGTTGATTGACGGTGATCATCCCCCGCTGTACCGCCCGGTGACATGGAAGGAGTATCTTGAGGCCAAGTCAAAACATTTTAGCAAGGCACTTGAGTCGATTCGCCTTTGAAATATTTACATTTTAGCAGTAATCGTTAGACGGTCACAGGAAATATATTGTCATCCTATAATATTTATGTGGTGAAATGTTGGATTGGATAAGGATGAATGGAACTGTTGGATTAGTGTTGCCGATCAAGGTACATTAATTTGGTTCAAATGATTTCTTTCGTTCGAGATCACCATTTCTCTCTTTCAATCCACAGCAAAGGAAATCTGAAATATTGTTTGATTTCCTTTTGGGAACCAAACTTCTTAGGTATGACAAAGTGACAGACATGTGAAGGTGCTAGAAGATCATCGGATTAATTATAAATAAAAAAATAAACATTAAATTGTTTCTATTCATGCCATTGTCATATGTGGATAGTAGGATAAAAATATTGCAAGAAAAGCACAAAGATTACTCCTCATTTGCTTCGACTGTACAAAAGTAGAAGCAACTAATAATATCACTGAAATGCAACACATGATTTAACAACTTTTATCATACTTGATTTAGGCTAATTTGGTAGAGGATATATAATCACAAACAAAAGACTAAATAAAATCTGTTTTCACTCTTCCTTTTAAAGATAGAACAATTTTTTTAATTATATATAAAGGCTAAATAAAATCTCTTGATATATAATCTTCTAACGTAAGGAGATAGGACTTGCATTGATGCTGCTGGTGCTGGACATCTTTCACTATGTTTGTTTTTGATTGACCAACAACGTTAGCCTTGACAAAAGACTTTAACCAAGAGCGGGTTAGGAGGATGATAAACTTAGTGGACAAAATCTAAAACCCCTTTTCCTGCTCAAAAATATTGACATGAACCAGTACAAAAGACCTGTCAGAAAAACCTTGTCATAATGGATCTACATATAGTGAAAAAACTATACCATTTGACAGTAAAGTCAACAAAACCAGAAGGTCGATCACTTCCAGAGCTTCACACACTTGTCATGACTAGCCGAGGCTACCATACTCGTGGCATTCGATACTGTCAAGGCAGAGACTAGCTTCTCATGTGCATGTAGTGTCAGTGTCTTGTTCTCAGTCATGTTCCAAAGCTCCAATGTCTAGTGAACCCCATCATTCCAGGTCATAAGCATAAGAATAATCAATAGCTTGAATTAGAAAAATTGGAAAGAAATTAAGCAAAAGGCTATGCATCCAGCATGGAACATTGGCAGTACAAAGCAGTAAACCCACAGCTCAAAAACATAATAACCAAGGTGTAAAACCTCAAAGTACTATGGAGCTAATTAAAGCTGTAAACAGCAATAGTGACACTCACCTCATAACAGCCAATGACCAACAGAGAAGGATAAGTAGGATGAAAAACACAGGTGTTAAATTTGTTGCCAGTACAGTTCAATTCATGAACACATTCCCCTTTGCCACCAGAACCAACTGTCCACACTCTCACCAAGTCATCACTTACAGATGCCAGAAACTCACCAGTAGGATCCCAACACACAGAATGAACAGCATTTTTATGACCCTGCATTGAGGCTAAATCCATGTAAATTTTCGAGAAATAAAAAGGTACTCCATGTAAAATATGAAAGAAAAATGAAGCAAAAGAACATCATAGAAATATTTGACAGAAAAATTACAAGATAATTCATTATCCCCTAATTTGTTATTTTCACCATATCTTTGTTGTTCCATATCCAAAGCCATAAGGCTCAAAAAAAATTACAATCTCTGCTTTTCTTCGGGAGGTTTGTTAGTTAAAAAAGAACCAAATCGAATAGATGCATAGATGGAGAAAACTAGAGGATACCAAATCAAACCTCTGGTTAAAAATATTTATGCACCATGGTGGTACAGAAAAATGCACCAAGAAGGTAAGGTTTAAAATATGCAGACTTATATTCCCATAAAGCCTGCTAATAGGTTCCTGGAAAAGAACATATACAACTGTTCAACACACAGAACACTAAATTCTTTCATGTCAAGACTGGTCCAAGGCCTTGCATCTGCCAACAGACATGCAAAGAAACTATGATCATGCAACATAAAGAACACTAGGTTTTCTCGTTCTTTCTATGCAACAAATTCTTTCTAGAGTGTAAAAATTCTCTCTCTTTTTTTTTTTTTCTTGAGGGAAAATAACGCAGGAATCCGGTTCTTTAGCAATTACCACAATCCCGTTTAACTTGTAACTACAAAATGCCAAAAGGGAAGTAAAAAATGCAACTCACAAACTATCCACTGACCTGTAATTTGGCCCTGCAAACTTGGTTCTCCACATCAAGTAAGGATACAGAATTATCTGCTGCAGCTGCAAGAAACCTTCCAACACGAGGTTGAAATCTCATCTGGGTTGCACCACCCTGATAAAAAGAATAACAAAAGGGAACTAATGGTAACAGTAGGACTTGCAAAAGAAAATAACGATAGAGTATTGTACTTAACATTTCTTGAGATAAATCGTAAGACTACATACCTTGAAAACTCCAGCACAACTACCATTCTTGATACTCCAATATCGAATCTCACTATTATTATCGCATGAGCATATAAGGTCCTCTTTGGTGGGGTGGAAGTCAAGTGATGTGACAGTTGTAGAATGTCCCACAAAAGTACGAAGTGAATATCCAGGCTGCAAAGCAGAATCATGCATACATAAATCAGGAAAATTCGGGGAGGGGAGAGAAGTTCATTGGCATAATTCCCACAAGAGAATGATTCACATGGCAAAAAGAAAATCGTCCATCAAAAATAATACTTACAGACTCTTCCTAGTAACCAATTTTCATCATGATACACCCAACAAGGCATTCAATGAGTAGGGATTGGCTACACAATTCTCATTAAGCCATCTACTTCACAGCTCTTACAGTGGCCTCTTTTTTATGTTCTCATTCCAAAATGTCTAGCAATCAATATTGTTTTGAGATGAAATTCTGGTTCAGAAAAGTAGGTCATAAAGTACTGCATGCTAGCAGCAGCTTCCACATTAGGAAACCAAAAATGCACAGCAGAATCTCAAGCAGTTTAAAATTTTAGCTACTATTGCAAAAGAGATCAGGATGACCCATGCCATGATAAAGAAATAGTATGCCTACTAACATTATCAGCATCCCAGATCCTGACAGTTCTGTCAGCTGAAGATGTAGCAAGTCTTGACATGTTTGGACTGAAGCGGACATCAGTTACCCATTGAGAATGTTCTTCAAGTGTCGACTTTACTGCAAAAGACTCTGTGCACCACAGCACAGCCTGCACAACAATATAATCAAGTAAACATGTTTATGTAATTTCTCCAGAAAAATTAAAAACTTAAATTTAAATAGCACTGAAGTCCCCCTATCAATGAATAAAAGATTACATAATTTAACACCACAAAAGGGGAAAAAAATATTAAACGGCACGAAATCAAATCACCCTGTACCTTTTTATCATGGCCACCAGTAGCAAGCAATTTCCCATCTGCTGAGAAGTGACAACATTCTACTTTACTCGTACTAGCAGGGATACGCCGGACTTCTGTAAATGTTAAGCCTGACATTACATCATAATATTAGTAAATCCCCATGTATCTATCTCATTGTAAGAATTTTCTGGTGTTTTTGTGTGGCAACACATGCCACCAATAATTAAAAAATCAACAATAATTGTACCTTTGCTGACATCAGCACACCGACCAACTCTATCTCTAGGCTCTGGATCATCATGAGATAAGAATGACTCTACATTATCATCTAGAGATCCATCATCCACAAATCGGTCTATATCAGCCTGTGATTTACTATCTCAAGTTATCCCATTGCTGATCGGAATATCAATGATAACAACTTGCAAGCAGTCTGTAAATTACTTTCAATCGACACATCCAATCCAGGGAATAACAAATCACAATATCTAGCTCAGTACTAAATTAATCTTAAAGAGATAACTATTTCAGAATAAATGTAACAGGCAAGCGGAAGAAATGTCTTCACTCTAATAGCATCTGTTGTCGAATCAAATGATTTATCTGGCACTGATTCTTAAAGAGCCTATCCAAACTCGCTATAACTTCCCTAGATTGCCCTAGTTATATAGTTTTTCACCTATCAGGAGATTCTAAACTATAGTTTCCGCTTCCTCTCGGGCGAATAACAAAATCAGAACAAGTATATAATATACACAATTTGCCAACTCATTTGCTCCACAAACTTTAAATTACAGGACCAAAAAAGTCTAAATTTCATCATTGCAAAAATAAACAAATACTAAACAAAGGCATGATGTTATACCAAACCATCAGAGCCAAACATAAGCAAAGACTTGGAGGAACCACTATTATGAGGTAAAGTGGGCATTGAGATGGCATCTCCTGGTGTGTGAGTAGATGGTGATGAAGGTGAACTTGGAGATGGTCCAGTGGTGTTTGCAGTGCCGGAGCTATTGACAGGACCTGAAGATGACCCTGGTGTCTTCCTCTTCCGGCTGACTTGACTTTTTGAAGCCTTAAGCAAAGATACAACTCTATGTTAGAAACACTGGCAGGATGTTAAATTGAAATGCTGATCCAAATTAACATGCAAATAGAAACCAGAGAGTCGTGCAGATAAAAATGCTGTTAAGACTCTGGTAACAATAATCCAGACCATGAGACATATCAGAAAGAATCCAGAGGTCGAATGCATTAATATCACGTAAATCTTTCAAAACATTTTGGTACTTTTGGAGAATGAAGAATCTTGAAACACTTGTTCAACAGAAAAACAAAGGAAAACATTGAAAAAAAATAGAAAAAGAAGATATAGATGGCATGATTTACATCCAAGTCTCAGTAAATGTTAAACCTGATCATTTCCCTGAAAGGTGTTTGATATGCTACTATCAGGCATCATACTACAGGTACCGGTCATCTTATCTTGCTGCTGGTGCTGGTAATTTGAATTCTGAGACTGCTGACTTGAAAGTGGATGCTGTGCAAATTGTTGTGACGGTTGATTATTGTGGTGCAGTTGTTGCTGCTGTAACTGATAGACATTGAACAGCATGTATAAAGTAAGAAAGCTG